AATTCGCCGAGCGGTTAAATTTCCGTAAGTGCCCCTCGGGATATTTTCCTCGAGCAAACTGAACGGTCTCAACGAGATTTCCCTATCGATGTATGCGGTGCCAGGAAACACTATTTCGAAAGGATTCGCTGACAAGATAATCGATAAGTCAATATGATTAAAGCTTGAAGGAACGATCATGCTTGATGTAATAAATATAGGGATAAAGAGAGAAAAAGATAGAGAAAAGGCTTTTATCTTATCGCGGAATTCAAGTGAGGGAACGGATCAGGGATAGCGTTTATTGTGAATGAAGCGTAGGAGAAATGTAGCAGAGAGGGCTCTGACATTACAGCGAATCGGTTGATAGTACTGTAAAGCTACATCAATGATGACACTTCATGCGGGTACGAGATGATCAAATTACACGATACCATTACGATCCGTGCACATAAATCGTGCAAGCAATTGATTGATAATTTCTCAACGTTAATTCTTAACGTTAAATCTGTAAATTAATAAAACAATGATCTTTGGATATCATGCGCTCCTGTATGAGTAAACAAGACCGACGAATCCCCATCCTAAAATTTCACAACTTTTCATTTAGGGTTGCCAGCAGTTAACGAAATCAATACTTAGTCAGTGCTACGACTATCAACTGACGGGCGACAGCCAAGGTTTTGTCAACCAATACTGGGTCATAACTGACAAATGATTGGCTGTTAAATGACGGCCAAAGTTCTGTCAGCCTGAACTATGGCAAGCAATACTGGGCTGATTATAAAACCTTATATATGAGTTTCCTCTAATTTCCAAACCAAATTTCAATTTATCTGACTTTCAATAATATTTTAATTTTTAAATATTTTCATCCTGATTTGGAGTTAAACTGATTTGACGTAGCAATGCAAATTACTATTAATGTTGTTAATAATGCTTGTTTTTAATTGTTAAATTGGTAGTATTCTAAAATTGCGTAGGTGTGATGTATATACAGTCACCCATCATGAACAGATAGAGTGAATCGGACTGAGTCGAAGTCTTCTATCATTTTGCAATTTTCGTAATAATTAACAAAATATTAATTACTAAAAATTGCCAAATATTGGTCTTGAATAATTTTTTATTCAAATACTGTCAACTTTATAGAAAAGCTGTAAGAGACAAAAATCATTTATTTTCCTCTCATAAAGTTCTGAGAATTTTTTCAGAATTTTTTATCAACTTTTTAGTACTGCATTTTCTTATTTTTACCAACATGAGAAAATACGATATTAAAAAATTCTGAAAAAAATTCTCAGAACTTTATGAGAAGAAAATAAATAATTTTTGTCTCTTGCAGTTTTTCTGTAAAGTTGATAATATTCGAGTAAAAAATTATTCAAGACCAATATTTAATTTAGCAATTTTTAGTAATTAATATCTTGTTAATTATTGCGAAAATTGCAAAATGGTAGAGGATTTTTCGACTCAGTCCGATTCGCTCTATTTGCTCATGATGGATGACGAAATATGTTAAAATCACCTTGTATATTTAAATACCTTTACATGGCAGCGTCGAGCATCGTAAGCTTGCTACTCATCAATTTTGATCACGTGACCTGTTTTTAATGAACAGTGAGCTCACGTTATGGCACTTTAAATTTCTTTAAAGTCAAGAATTTTAATTGTTTAGAAAATTTTGCAAAATTCTCTGATTTTTCTCTGAATTTCCTGACTGTTTTCCATTTCTCGGACTTCCAATTTTGTGGTAACCCGAATAATATAACAATAATACTTCCACAATTTTAAGCGAATCTACGATCGCGCGTGTCAGAAGCAGAATCCGCGGTTGGTTTCGCGGATTCGACGATTTGATCGACAGGAATGTCCGCGAACGATAGAAATCGGTTATCGGGAGATCACGGGAAAACGAAGGAATAATGGATTTGGAAATATAACGGAGGTTCTTCGTCACATCGCAGGACACGCGGATCTCGCTATTGATGCACGCGAAAAAAGTTCGATGCCGGACGAACGGATTTCTTTCTTCGATCAAACAAAGAGTTCGATTCATCGTTCGGGCCAGCGCGGAAAAAGGAAGGCAAGGAGCACATTCACATCAGCAGGTCGAGATGGTCATCATTCTTCTTTTTTCATCACAATTGACTTCCTTGAAATTTCTAGGCTCGGTCCTTTCTCGCAACTTTTCATCCTTTTTTTTTTTTCAAACGTATCTGAAGACACGAGAAGGACCTTCGATGACCGTAAATACACGCAGGTAACTTCTCGCCGAGCGGCGAGAAGTCCAGAGAGCGAAATGTCGTAAAGCGTGTTTAAACTTTCGGACAGCAGAGAACTATCGTATCTGTGCTATTGACGGTTGCAACGATGCTTCCTACGATAACTTTGTCTACGAATTTAACGACGTAGAAATCGCTGGCTAATCAGACGCCAGCGCGTTTGGGATAGGAATAGATATATGGCGACCAGCCTCTGGTCGGCGGAGTGAACAATAATTTTTGACTGCGATTAAAAATTTATGCGTTCGTTCAAGACAACGCCGACGTGGCAAAACGGCGCGGAAAAACGATTCGTCTTTGTAGGCGCGTCGGCGATGGCAGCGTGCACCACCGCTTATGGTAATATTTCGTGCATCGCGCGGCATGCATAATGCAGCCAGAACTCGAAATTTATGCAGTGGGCGCGAGAGGAAACGATCGTAATGTAAGACGGGCGACCGACTCTCGTGTGTCGCCTGCTCTAAACGCCGGGGAACGTTCCGCAGCTATGCATCATCGATGAGGTATAAACGTAAGGACGGCCTCTACGAACTTCAGAAATGCCTTTTGACGGGACGATCGTCCTGGTGAATAGCAACGAGATCCTCTCGCTCGCCTCTCCGAAAGCAATCTCGGGTAAACTCACTTCAACGGAATGTTAATTTGCGGGGTTTCGTTAGGAAAAATTTGTTGAAAAGCCACGATAAATAATCTACGTCGACATTTTATCATCGCGGATAATTTGGCTGTAAATTGCGGGAGAGACATCCTGCGCATGCACGCATATATTTCCCTAATGGAGATATGATGCCATCGAGTTTTAATAATTAAACATTTATTAATATCAACGGGCGTTCGCCGAAGTTAGTGATGGTTACTGTTAATGCCGTAATTTTCATATTTATTTTTGCGTAATGCACGCAAAAATAAATATTAACTTTCCATGTAATCTTATCATTTTCCTTCTCCCTCCTCTCTCTCTCTCTCTCTCTCTCTCTCTCTCTCTCTCTCTAATTAGATTACTTATGTATTTAAATTCCTCACTTTTAATAAGTAAATATACACTCATTAATATTATTCATATTCAGATTTATGTGTCTCACTCTTTTGTTATCACTTCATTATTATTATTATTATAACAAATATTGGCATTCAAAGGTCGAAGTTTCACAAAATATAAAAAAAAAATGGAAAAAAATTTACATAGTATTGTAGAAAGAAGAAAGGGCAAAATTTTTTTTCTTTCTTTCTTTTACATTTTATGAAGCCTTTCAATGCCAATTTTTGCTACACTCATTTTCGAGCATTTTAATTTTTACAACGCTATATATGTATTTAAAGCTTGAGAGGAGAATATCCCATAAAAGGGCGCATAAAAAATAATGATTCTCTCTCTCTCTCTCTCTCTTCTTTTTTCTTTTAAAAAGTATATTCGCGAGCAATGCACCAGGGAGTTCGAATTAAATCAGCCGGCTCGAATTAATTCGGTAAGGAAGAAACTCGTTAACAGCGTCAAGCGTAACGGCCTTTCCCCCCCTCGCAGCTTTTAATTTCACTTCGAAGAGAAGGAGAAAAAAAAGAAGTCCCGATGGCAAAACTTGTGTGTTAACTTCCGACACAAGAAGTTCCCTCGATCCGCTCCACCTTGCATGGGGAGAACATTTCGTCTTGCCGCAGCATCGTGATTCGCCCTGAGCGACCCAACACTCCCGATTCGCTTCTCCGACCTAGCTCTCACTTTCTGCCCTCCGTTCCGCGAAATCCCTCCCTGCTGTCCTCCTCAAAACCCCGACTCCCCTCCTCTCCCTCCCTGGCTTCCCACGCGTTCGATCGCGCGAGATTCACCGTCGACGAAATTAGCCTCAGTAAAATGCGGGGAACATCTGCACCCTAAAAGAGCCCTGCTGTTCGGAAGAACGATCTACGATTACATTTCCATCTACCATTATTGATCATGTCTGAGTATAACACGCTGTATTTTTATTATAATAACAAATACAAAGGGACAAGTATGATTCGTGATTAAATAATAATATCGACACAATCGAAACTCGTGATCAGAGATTGGAACGTTGTTTTGGTCGGGTATCAACAGTCGAAAGTGGAGTTTAATTTCGAGCATTGCGATAATCACAAAATAATCATGAGATAACGAGGATTGAGTAACAAGCCTCGCCAAGACGGCAATTCGATTCGTAGTTCTTGCGCATTTAGCTGAGAATGTTAGATTCGATTCGCAGTTCTTGCTCATTTATCTGAGAGCGTTAAGAGTCCTACTCGCTCCTACCTATCGTACAGATCTCTAGACCTTCCAGCTAAGCGGATCGTCTAGCGTCGTAATCGGGAATTCTCTTTGTTGCAGCGGGAGCGGATCCGCCGAGTGTCCCTCTCCGTCTGCCGTCCGAACAGAATTCGTAGTGCGTCGGCGGAAACGAAAGTAAGAGCGACGCGTCGAGAAGAGAAGAGAAGAGAAGAGAAGAGACACGACGCCAGGGGCGTACAGTACGAGTTACGTATACTTACAACATGCCGAAACAACAAAACTAGTCTCGTCACTCCGCGTGCGATCGAACGCTACTGTTGCTGTCGCGGAATCCAATCCGCGAGCGCGGAGCGACCGGCTCTTTCACCTAACCTTAACGCGACTCGCAAGTCGCACTTCGTGTTCCCCCGTTCTCCTCTCTTCCTCTCCTCTTCGCCTCGCTCGCACGCTTGCACGCTCGACCGGTGTATCGCCGTCAGGTGTATCGCACTCACCTCGTATCGGTGCGCAGGTGTTCCGCCAGGGACGACGATGACAACGGCGACGATGGCGGGGTACGACGTCCGCGGAGTCCTTACCGTTTAAAGAAAAGAGCTTGCGACACCGGCGGCGAGCGACTCCCCCGCACGCCTCTGTGTTATATCCTCGTGCGGAAACCGCACCGTGGTTGAAAACCGGGGGCAGAGAAAAAAAATGCCGGGCAAGAGACGGCGACGGTCCGGAGCGCACGACGACGCGTCGGCGCGCGCGACGAGTGAAAGGTAGACACGGATAAGAAATGTATTATATACGTGCGACACTACCGAAGGCGAGAAACGCAAGGAACGACGACCGCACGACGACGACGACGACGACGACGATGACGGTGGCGGCGACACCGCGACAAAACCGCCTTAACCGCTGGGCGCGTACTGTACGGAACGAACGGACGACGGCAGTATGGCGCCCGGCGGGGCTTCCCCGCACCTCGCACTTCCCTTCTTCGGCAACCCCACTCGTCGCCACGCTGTCGACTATTGTTATCTCCGTCTCACTCCCACGCTGCAGTTCGCCATCTCGCTTCACTTTGCGAATTGCCACGCTGTACAGCATCTGCTCTCTCTCTCCCCTCCCTCCATTCTTTCGCTCTCTCTCTCTTCTTCTGTCTTTTCCATCTCTTTTCATCTCCCGCGGTTTGAAACTGAATACTAACACACCACCATCCTTCTCTTTCGCACAGACACGGTCTCAGCTGTCGCCGATCCGTCGGTCTGTTTCCCTTCGACGAACGCGTATACGTAATCTCTCCTTCTCTCGAACGTGGAACTCTATCTCACCAACACCAACGTAGATTCTTCTCCGTCGCGCCCTTCGATTTACACATCTCTCTTCAACTCACAAACTCCGCGCTCGCGCAGAGAGAGAGTGTGCATCCTTCTGCACCGTTCTCTTCTCTTTCTCTTTTCCGATTTATAGCTTCTCTCTCTCCCTCTCTCTCTCTCTCTTTCACCGCTTTTCTCCCGCTATCGACTCTCTCGCTATCGATGACGATATCCTTCTCTTTCTCCCGCTTGCAGTTCAGCCGATCTCACTTCGGTCTCGATTAAGGGAGCAGGAGAAAATCCTCCGCGCGTACGCGTGTGCGTGTGTATTATTTTTTTCTATATACGTGCATCAAGCGATACTTTCCGCCGACACCGCCGGTGACGGGCCAATCGACATGCGGTCGAAGCACTGTCCCCCGGAGATCGCGCGACCAGACCGTGTGCTCTCCTCCGCGCTCTTCCTCTCTCTCTCTCTCTCTCCCGTGGACCACGCTGGGAAACGTGGGCGAGATTAATATTAGATAGATATTTGTCGTTAATAACATCTCCGACGCTATGTCACGGCACGGCGCTATTTATCGCCAGCCGGGTGCAACAACCATTGTCATCGACGCGATGCATCGCGGGATTTCGCCGGGGCGCATGTTGCGCGTAAATTTTCTTCTCTATCTCTCTCTCTTTTTTTTTCATTTTCGACAACAATTCGCCCGAGCGTAAACCGACAAATCAATCAATCGATAAACATACCTATTTCCATGTGCTCGCATCGTCGGGATAGAAACGATAGAACGCGCAATGCTGTTCCTAAAACAGCGAAACGCGTCGCTAAAGTCAAACGCAATCTTCTTTTCTAACACCGGACGAAATTAATTGAAGAACATCACGAGACGATCACGGGACAATGCGATGACTAACGTGTGACTGTTCATTCACATGAGTCTTTGTTGCAAATTTTATCAGACTTCGAGGCTTCTTAGTATTAATTCTTTCAAATATGCGATTTTAATGGAATCATGTTAAAAATTCAATTGTTTTAAATTCAATTTAAGAGTACTTTAAATAATTCATACTAAGAGAATTAATTGTTTCAAAATTTTCCAATATGTATACGTTATCGTGTGAACGTTGACCTCAGATGGTGTCGATAGAACTAAATAATTGCAACGGATGTTTTCAAATTTGATGCAAATTATAACGTATACGAGGTCTGAAGGGGTTACGCGATGGGATTATTTATCGTTGTCATTGGCGACGTGTAACACCCGCTATCGTACCGGAGCCGACTCGCTTCTTGACGAGAGCGACCGTTTTTATATCTTCGTCAACGCAAAATAAACGTCGCGCCTCCCAAGGGCGAGAGTGACGTTGTGTCACTCACGCGAAAGAGTTCATCGTTTTGTGGAAAAGCGCGAGTGCAAAGAGATTAAAAAGGTATCGAACGCATGAAAGTCGTGAATTTCTACGAAAGAGACATATTTTTAAGAGATATCCTTGATAAATTCGTACGTTCGTTATTAAACTCGATGCCGCAGCGCTATTTAGCATCTCCGTTATAAATGCCACTTTGGGATAAACTTCAAAGAGCCTCTTAATCAGTTCATGAACTTTTCCAATAAGATCTTTAACCGCCATCCCCCACGTTCATTGTTCAACGAGCTTAACAACTTTTGCAACGCCGGAAATTATTACTATAAATTTCCACCGGCTGACCTTTCGTTTGATAAAACGCGTTTCGCTCTGTTGGTGGGATGCAAAGAGAGATACGCAACGTGAGCGCGCGCGCGCGAAAATGCACCGACGAAACGAACGGGAAATGACATTAACGTTAAATTAACTGCCGTGAACTTCTGCGCATTTTATATTTTCCGATATGTCACCGGTGCGGTGATACAATCGCAGGTGCCATAAACAATAATGATAATTTTGATTAATATTTAGTTAGTGAAACGCAGATGCGATGCGACATATTTTTAATAAAAACAATTCTGGCAAAATTATTTAATCTTTAGTATACACGATGGATCATTCGTAATTCTTTTCTTTGAAATACTAGGAGTAGTACTCGGCTTGGCTAAATATTAATTTCCTTTTAATTATTTCCCATAATTAATTTTAAACGCAACCTTACAAATACTTTTTAAATATGTCAAGGTATAATATGTAAAAATCACTTAATTTCTCTACACGGTAAAAAATATTTTGCATTTATATTAAAAATGGTCCACTCTACGTTTGTTAAAATTTTGTCCTGAATTTTCAATATATTTGAATGTTAATTTAATATAATGTGATTATATCATTTGCATATTTTATGTAAATTGATATTCAATATTTCTTAGTGTTGAAATAACATAATTTACGAATAAATGAATAAATAACATAAAATGTATTTTAAAATATAAATGTTAAGATAAACAAGTAAAATCTGCTAATTTAACGTTATAAATGTAATTTTGGTGTAAAAATATGCTTCCACAGTTTGCTTACAGTTACATTTTTATTTTAATATTTTGGTTACTTTCTAACGTATTCATCTTCTGTTAACTTAACACAATTTGAGTGGACCATTTGAGACACGTATTAAATTTAACATAAATTGTCCAACTATGTACTTTTGTAGAAACGATAAAAATTAACCTAGATATGACGACGTATCGTGTGTAACGAAAAAACAGGATAATCGTGTGTTCTTTTATAGAAGATCAATCGATAGAAAATAAATTAATAAATTATCGAGATTGTTCCTCCATTCGCTCAGCTACTTTCGATGTTCAACATTGTGCAACGCAGACGCACGTTCTAAATATAAGTTTGCCGCTTCTGGCCCGAAGCGATTCCGCGTGAGCGTGTGGGCGATAAACGAGTTTCGATAGATGCCAGTCGTGAGAGGTGAGCGACGATAACGCGGCGCGAGAGCAATTAGTTTAACGTATTTCAAACGGCAAGCGACATTAATACGGAAATGTCGTCGTTCGCCGTTACGAGAAGCACGTAAATATAACCGGGGACATGTATGATGTGCGTTCATCGAGGCACGCGAATAAAGGGAACAAAATCTCGGAAAAACATCGCTGGCCCCTTCGGCGCTTCTTGCAACTTTGTGGAGATAAGTTTTTCGCGACGCTTAATGCGACACTCTCGTGGGTCGTAAAATTCATATCGCGTGCCGGGAACACCAACGACTTGACCGTTGACGACCGAACATCAGGATCGTTCGTTTTTTTTCCCCCCCTCGCTTCCTGCGGCTCGAAGAATTTCAAGAACGAGGTCGAGCATCGCCTGTATCAGCTGAGATGAAGAGACGTGTTGCTTTTAATAGATAGAATTAAACGCGCAAAGAGCGATCCTCCCTTTAATTATGTATATTGCGCACTACTCGATTTAACGAATAACTTGATTCTAGATAGATTAAATATCGATCTTGGGACGATCCTCAGCTACTCGCGAGATGGTTAACTTATCGATTTTCCACAAAGGAGATGATGTATCCTTAATAAAGTGGCACGTAAAGTTACGCGCGTAATCTCACGCTCGATTTTCCTTACTTGATATTTCTCTCGTGGCGGTGCATTTTGCGGAAGTTATGTGTCGGGAGATATTGATTCTGGCGAAGGAATAGTATATCCCACCGAATATTCTGTCGGATGTTACGTTTAACCTTTTAAAACTGACGGTGGGTTATTGGACTTCAATTATATTCTTCATCTATATGTGAATTATTGTTATTAAAATAAATTTAGTATTTATTCTTTTCATACGAGAAGTTAGATAGGTTATTTTGATTCCTTAAAATTGATTAATGCTTTTTAACTTTTCAGGGGCGAGTGTTATATATTTGCAACGTTCATTTTTTAATTAAATTCGGGGGAAATTCGGAATCTGTATAAATCAGTTATATTTAAGAAATGAAGATAAAAATATATATAGCGTTAAACACTGAAATGTTTCTAGAAAGACTATATAACGATATATATGAATATATGTGTATAAATAATGCAAATATCGATACATTCTTAACTTACAAGTCATTTTTTTAACAAAAGCAGTAAAAAAATATTTTTTTTGTCTCTAGAAAGTTAAAATAAAAATAGTTTTACAGTTTCAAGAGTAAATCAAACATAAGTAAATTACTTATATATCGTATTTGACTTTCGCATTAAAGAAGATTCAAATCCAGAGTCGAAACGTTTGTAGTTAATTTATATATTCTAATAATATGCGAATTATATCTATATTTTTGCCTTGTAAATATATCTTTTACATACTAATAATTGTGGGAACTCATACAGGCAATTTATTTATATTTAATGCTTTTTAGTCAACATAAATTGAATGAGTCTCAAAGATCCAAACTTCGTCGATGTAAAACTATGTAAAACAAATTTTGACGGCTTCAAAGGATTAACATCGCGATTCTTAGAGAGAGTTTAATATTTATCTAACAATGTATATAATCATTTCTGAAAACAGACAATTAACAGTCGCTATTCCTTCTTTCTTTTAATTTGCGCAATAAGTTGAAACGTAATATCCGAGAAAGGTAAAATCGCAGCTGCAAAGGAAAGGACGGACGAGCGAAACAAGAAGCGCTCCAGGAGATTCTTTGACTCGCCATGGCCAGCCCCTTTCATCTCTATGGATGCAGACTCGCAGTGATTCTCAACCTTGACAGGTCTGCCCTACTAATTACATGGAACCCGCTCCGCACCAATCTGCTTCCCGTCCTTTGCTAAATGCGCTCTTATTAGCCTTCGGGCCACGACGTGTTGCTCTTATTTGAATGCGAATAGCAGCACGAATGTACAGCACATATTAGGAACGATCCTATATTGCAACTGCATCCATACTGTATCCGATGAAGCAAAGATTGATAATTTCGAATACAAAGATTTGTCAAATTGAACGAAAAGCGAAGTAAATCCTTTGAGAGCTAGGAGAATTGAAAATCTGTGCACTCGTTTTCAACCGCAATTGTACGATGTTACCGCATTTCGGACGAAGAAATGAACATCGGTTTTTCCACGTAACAGCAGCCGTAAGCGCGCTTATCTGATATCACGCTCATATCAGATGCCCCCGAAGGTACCCCCTTTACACGAGGGTAATCGTGCTCCGCCATCCGCGAAAATTACTTGCGGTTAGTAATATCTCTGCATACACGCCGTAATAGGGATACGCATTCGGATTTCGGCATCGTAAGCGATGATCACTCACGGAAAGCGTTAGATCAGCCGTTTATTACGGACACATTTCTCATTCCACTCATGCAGCTCGATTGGAGTTCCTGTTCTCTCACCATACGTCATCTTTCCGTCTTTATATAGTTATATTTTCATATTTTACTTATATATCAGTTTAATTTATTTTTGTTACATTACCTTTCGTTAATTGCATATTTCGTACATTTTGCTCTTATTTTTGTGTTCTTAAAGGTTCTTACCGTAGAACAACGCTAAACGCCTTTATCTCTCTCTCAAAAGCACGGTACGCTTGACGCAAAAGGCTCGAAGAGAAAAAAAAGAAGAAAAAAAAACGGAATTTCAATCAATCGCCGAATACTGTGTGTTTGTTCGAACTTTAGTCCATCGCCCGGATCAGCTATCCCGGTCCACCGTTCCGACCTGATGCATATATACATAACGTACGTGCGCGTGCAGCACCGCGTCGGAAGTATCGACGAGTCTGTAAATTTCCATCGAACCTATCCGCGACGTTCCGGCGATATGAGATTTTGCATTTTTCCGCATTCGCAATTCGAACCCCTTCCGGAGGGCTGTTTCCCCGGCGTGGGGTCTCGATTGATTCCTTTCACGAGCGCATGAAACGCTTTCGCGTTCCCGAGTCTCAACGGCGCGATAATAAGGTAGTCGTCATGTTAACCAGTCAATTAATTACCGCGTCACGTGCGAATTGGCGAGTGTCGCGG